GGCAAAAAAATGGGTCCAACACGGGTACTGGCAGCAGTTTAATGGCTGTTATTTGACATTTAAAAAACGCGAAATAAATGCATTTAAATGTTCCCAGTTATAATGGCAAAAACAACCTGAAAACCGGGTCAAATGTCATAAAAATTCCGTTTAAATGGTTATTAATAGTGTATTAAATGGCATTTAACTGGGCAATTTTTTATGTTAGATTAGTTGTATGTAACCTAGGAAGAATTTCTCTGTTAGATAACAGTAATCATAGTGAACGAAGTTATGTTATGTTTTCAGTAATCTTTAAGAAACGAATCAACAAAAACCTTGAAACTTTTTATATACAACGAACTAATGTGCCCAAAACAAGACACTTGCATCAAATACAGTGGGTATCTACCTTTTTCTTTTCTCATCGTTACAATAAATGGCCTGCACACCTTGTAAAAATATTCCAATATATGATCGAAAAACCATCACAGACAAGATAAGAATATTATTTTACTCAAGCACATCTTAAATGAGACATCTTTTTCACAACCACTAGATACAAACTTACTATCATAAAACGTATCATCAAACAGGTATAAATACTTCAAAAACTCTAATTATTTAACCCAACAAAATCTATCTGAAAATAAACAAAAACAAGAGTGGTAAATACTGAGCGATCAATACTAAAAGTAAAATAATTAGAAAAGATGAAAATTTATATAAATCATAACATTGTTTGCTCTGGTGGGGATTTAATATTCATCATCGTCAATTTCAAGTTTTTCAAATGTCTGAGAGAGCGATGATTATAAAACTACCTATATGATCAAAAAATTGATAAGAATATACACAAAATTCATAAAATCATCCAAGATTCGGTAAAATCTGTACAATTGATTTCTTTTTTAAGCGTTTAGAAATAAAACATGCAGTTAGACAAACTCGACTATGAGTGTTAAAAGTTTAACAATGCTAAATGACAAAGTATAATTGTAGAGAAAATCACAGTATTACTTTTAGTTACGGACAAAACTTTGCTCAATGCAACTATGTTGATCCGAATAAACAATAAAAAGTATAACAAAACTATCATAAATGTCTAATCAGAGCGATTACACTTTACAAAGACCGTGTTATTTTCTACAACTTCTAAGACACCTAGTTCTTAGCAAATGACATTACAATTCCTCTTTATTCTAGAAAAAAGATGTTCATTATGACCTTTGTCTGTTTCTACCATTTTATCTTACCTTCTATGGAGCAACAGCCGCTTTGATAATTAATAATCAAATAATTTTATATAAACAAAGTTCGATTATTATTTTATCAGGAGTAAACAAATATTCTTTTATTTATTATACTATGATCAATTTAGTTGATGCGTATTATCGCTACTCGTCCACTGTGTGACAGCGCCACGTATCCTTGTATGAATATAAATAAAAAGCTCCAGTATATGTCTAGCAAGTGTTGTGAGAGAAATTTCAATTTTTCTATCCTCTTTTAAAATATATACAGCTGAGAAATCGCAGTAGTCTCACCGGATACTATTTGCACATCATTCAGTCATGTGCTGGAGTAGAGTATGTATAATTGTACTTTATACCTGTACTTTGAAAATGCATTTGTACTTGTACCTCGTACTTGGGAATGTACACTTGAACTTCTGAGGGCTGGCTGAGTTCCTAGACTTATAGAATTATACAATATTAACCAGAATTTTAGTATAACTATAGCAGAATTTAGTATAAGTAAAAAATATCAAGAAGAGGAGTGAGGGAAAAGGAGTACTCCAAAAACTACAGTTGTTTTGAAGTGTTTTGCAATGCCTCGGCTGCACTTTATAAAAAAGAGTGCTCCGAAACCCTCTTTTTTTTTGAGAAGTATTCTGGCACACTCCAGAAAAAGAATACTCTAAAGTGCTCTTAGTGGCTTTTTTCAAAAGGAATGCTCCGAAATCGGAGTACACCTTCATACTCCTACTTCTGATCTTTCTTTTTGACTGAGTATTTCACTAAATTCTGCTGGGTATTGTATGATACACCAGAATTTAGAGTCCTAAATTCTGCTGTATGTCACTAAATTAATTCTGCTGTAGCACCCTAAATTCCGGTGCATCGTGCAAATCTAGTTAAGTAGTGTTCTAAAATCTGGCTTGCTCAATATACCATCACTGTCGACGCCATCAGCATTTAGGATACAAATATTTGCTAAAGTCTGGTGGAATTGTATCCTAAATCAGAGACGGCGGAACCATGCAACTCGTGGGTGTCTCAGCACTCACAGAGTTTGAAAATTTTCGTTTTCTTCTAGCAGAAACTTGTTTTTTCTTTGTGTTCTTGTCCTTGAGCATCCATAGTTTCAGAATCATTCCGCCTCTGTCCTAAATTCTGATGAAACACTAGAACTCAGCCACTACTGAGTATCACATACAGTATAGCTAAATTTGATATGTCTAGCATTATTAGATGTGTTTTTCCATTGTAGGATAAATCAAGGTGAGTCAAATAGATGAGAAAGCCATATTTTGAGGAGAAATTTTCGAATGTACCAATAACACAATGCTGTGAAGAAATGCTGAAACGTTTGATTACGTAAGCGTTTTTGTAACGTGTAGAAAACATAATATCTAATGAGTTTTCTATGTACATTTTGATTTGCTATAGGCTTTAATGTCCTGATGTTTAAAGACTCATTTTGTCAGAATCAAAATGTATACGGAACAATAATTTCGGATTATTCATAACAGAAAAGAGAAAAAATTTTCTTTTTCTTTTTCACGCAGTTGAATTGATAACCAGTAGGGTCTGATTTGTGAACATCTGCAATTTACATAATATATCTAGATGTATATCTAGATGTTAAGATATTCAGATATTCTGATATTCAAGCTAGATATTTAGATATTCAGATGTTCTAGAAATGTGGAAAAGGGAAGGTGGGGGTGGCAGGGGCAGATGAGAGTGAGGCGCTCCCTGATATTCGCCACCCTCAAAGAAAAGAGGAAGATATCTGAACATCTACATATTATGTAAATTGCAGATGTTCACAAATCAGACCGGTCTCTTGATAACTGAGATATCGCATTACGAGTTATTTATCTATGACACAAGTTCATATATTTAACAGATTATTGAAATATTGAAATAGTTAATGTATGCTAAAAGTGGAAAATAATTAATTTAATGAAAGAACTGAAATTAATTACAGTGCAACACTGTTACTATCATATAATACCGGTTTTATTACTGAGATAACTTGTTACAAAATTTGAACTTGTTCTCAATCATTCTAGAATACAAACTGTTTAGGTAAGTCAATAAATATGAGATAATTAAGAGTAAAGTATATTTAATTATATTGTCATTGATAATTCGTACGCACTGACAGTTACTCCTGTATACTTTCCAATGAACAGTAACAAACCAGTTGTTTTTTCACGAATCATGTATAAAAATGGTCGATTACAATTGAATTGTAATGCTTCACCCGCATTAACACTGGTTAAACCTATAATAACGGCTGTTGCTGCAGCTGCTTCAACACCAGCTTCATTCACGTCAATGACAGCACCATGTGACACTTTAGTAACAGATAAATTTGGTGTTGAAGTAGGTGTTATACCTGATAAATCCGCTTTTTGCTGATCAAATACAGCTTTTATACCGAGTTGTTGTAATGCATTAGTTAACTCATACTTTGCTTCTGATTTAAATTTAGGTAAGGATAATACAATGTATTTTGACTTATTTGATGTGAATGCTGTATTTAGAATACCGTTAGTTAATTTTTGTTGAACAGTAGTTAAATTTGAATTATTATCTGGAAGAATAACTGTAAATACTAAACTTAGTCGTTTAGATGATGTATTAAATGGTATATTGATGATTTGTGCTTGTATAGAAGCTGATGCATTGAAATATTCGTAAAGTCCTTGACTAGACATCATTGGTACTTGAGTAGTACTGCCATTGACAAGGTAGAAAGTTTGATTTGTTGTTGCTGTGGTTTGAAAAGGTGTTAACCATTGTGCTTTAAAATAGAGGCAGTTAATTATTATTAAACGTGTCAATGCATTGACATCACCGGGTGCTATAATAGTTGGAAGCAAATTATTTGTTTTATTTGCTACCCAATTATTGATCGCGTCGACAGCACCGACTGGTGCATTCACAAAATCTAATTCGGTAATATTAGATGAATAATATTTTGTCAACGTCTTGATATAGGACTGTTTAATTGTAATATTTAATGCAGCATATAATTGATCAGCTACCATTATTTGATCGGATAATGGTTTAATAATATTATTGCATATATTTTGTGATTGTGTATTGAGTTTTGCTAGTGATTGAGCATACAGTGCTTTGATTATTTGTGTGCGTGTGGTACCCTTGGCACCAGCAGCACACATACTCATTGCTAGACCAATACTCGTCGGAGAAAATATATCATTTTGAGTGCCTATACTGATCTTTCTCAATAAGTTTAATCCAAATTTTTGATAATTTGTCCCTTGAGGAGCTAAGAAAATAGTTAAATTATACTACTACTCCAAGATATGATATTAATTGTCATCACTTACCACCCCAAGATTCAAATAGAACTACAAATAAAATTGCACAAACTACTAACAACTTCATTGTAAATTAAGTCGATTATAGAATATATCATTACAAAATAAAAACAAACACGACTAATATAGATTAATAACAGTAGAGATACATGCGTCATTTTTCACACTTCAATGATTCTTTTCATCAATGAAAATTGTTTACATGATAATAATATTTTTGTACTTGCAAAATGAACTAATAAACGCTGAAATAGGCGTGGTAAACAAATCGCATATTATAGTAATAAAAGGCGTCTTACAGATTTTGCTCTTAATACCATCTTTAGGTACGCATCTCAGTACTCACACGTTTTTTTCCACATTTTTTTACTCATCGAATATTCATGAGTGACTAATCAGTACTCTGGATACAACGAGTATTCATGCTTGAGTATTTATATAACTTTTGGCAAAGTACTCATGAGTATCGTTCATCTGGTATTATAGAGGAGTGCTCTGTGGCCGCCGGAAATGGAATACACGGCCACCGCTCATCAGTTTCTGAGCCGCTGCCGCCGAACGCGGTCTAAAGTGTGGGTCCCTCATCGCTGCGGTCGATGAAAAATCTTGAGAAGTTTTGTAGTTGCTTTTTGTAGAAAACCTGCACATAAGAAGAAAAAAATGAGTAAAGTCATACTCATAATAGAGTATATTGGGGTAATTAGAGACACTCTTTGAAATTGTCATTCTTTTTCTGCTGTTTCTTGGCCGTTTTTGGTCGGAAAAACTTGCTATTGAACACGGTGGTAGACCGAACGTTTTTCTACACGCTCATGTAAAAATCTTTTGAAAATCTCCGGACAATTTTGAGCCAGATCCAAAATGCGAAGAGTTCCATCAAAGTGTCTCTAATTACCCCGTGCGGGATAATTAGAGAAACTTCACTTGTACTTTTTATCGGAAAGACAGACCCTCTATTAACCGGCCGGTTGTAACCGGTTCTATTTTTGAGAAAAAAATTCATATCTCATCGACAACCATCGTAAGAAAGCCTACAACATCTTACTTTGTAGAGCAAACATTTGTGCACAAAAATGCCGATTCGAAAAAAGTTTAAAAGATTTCTCCGATTAATAAAACCACTGGCCTCGGAGAGCCCCAATAAAATAACCGGTTCATGCCTAATGCAAAGTGGGAATGTTGGCCTTAAACCATATGTTCTATAAAAAATTTTTAGTGTAATATGAAGGGAATTGTATAAGGTATATGAAAACGTTCAATCTGATTGGAATTTGACTGTTAATAACAACTCTAGCTTAATTATTTTGATAATTTTAATGAAAAAAATGTGTTTAAAATGGGCAATGTTCGTTGTGTACTATTTACCCCGAAGAAATTACACGAGTGTCTCTATTTACCCCAAAGCATAAAAAAGGAAAAAAGAATGTTTCTAGTGCTGCTGATTATATGCTAATTAGCTTAATGAGTTTGAATGATAATGAGCTCAAAACTATATGGTAGAGAGAGAAAGATCCGGGCTATAAAATGAGGTATTTTTGAACTAATTATCTCCAGCAATTATACATTAAAACTACATGTATTTGAATAGAGTGTCTCTATTTTAGCCCAAGCGTACAAGTGAAGTAAAAAACACTTTGATGGAACTCTTCGCATTTTGGATCTGGCTCAAAACTGGCGGAGATTTTCAAAAGATTTTTACATGAGCGTGTAGAAAAACGTTCGATCTACCACCGTGTTCAATAGCAAGTTTTTCCGACCAAAAACGGCCAAGAAACAGCAGAAAAAGAATGACAATTTCAAAGAGTGTCTCTAATTACCCAAAGTACTCTATGTGTACTTTCAGCAGGGCTTCCATTTTTCAGTATGTGACTACTCACACTTGAGTACATTCACTAGGATTACAATAAAAAATTTATATTTATTCGTGCACGTATAAAGGTGCAATTTGGTCTTCTGTGGTTCTAGTGTTCCACGTGTATTCCGTGTGGATAGACTTCTATTCCAGTCTTAAAATACTTTATTAACTTCTAGACCTTTTGGACGGTATTTTTCGTTAAGATCATAGTTTGACTCAAGTCTTACGTCCCCCAAGTTTGAAGGTATTTGGTGCACTAATGTAACACAGTTTTATCTATTTTTACTTTGTTTCGATGTTCGGTTTGTGTCGGCTGAGTAGTCATGCACGCTTGAGTCAGGAGCATTCTTTTCTTTCTTTATAAGATTTTTTCTTATTTTTTGATTAGAATCCTATGTTAGAATTAGTATGCATCAGAGCTTCGTATGGACTGAAGTTGATTTTTTTAGTCCATGGATTGAACCGGACTCAGAATACTGAAAAACCTCTCAAAAACCAAGTTTTTCAATTTTAGAAAGCCTATAACTCGGTAAAGAACGGTCTAAAATAAAATTCAAAAAATTTATCTGTGCAAAAGTGTCTTGAGTACCTCGGGTAAAATCTTTAACTTGATCGAATGCGCTGAAAGTGGTCTCATTTTACAATCTACACTTTCCTCTACATTAGGCTACGCTCAGCTCAAAATTCGAAATTTTTTCAAAAAAGAGGGACAGGGAGGTACCCTTAAGACGCTTCTGAAAAAACTACAACAATACATTACCGACCCATGCATGGGCGAGTTTTTATTGCTAAAATTAACTGTTTTAATTGTCTCATTTATATCCTAGTCTCTTTGGCTTCTAGAGTGGCAAAAAGAAAAACACATGTGCATATTGCTGTACATATGCGCATGGTTTCGCCGTTGTTCTCTTTCGACATGTGTTTACGGGATACAACTATAGACACATCATTTCTTCTATTTATAACACAGTGTGAAGAACGTTTTTAAGTGCAATTTTTGCGCAGTTTAACACTACATTTTCATTTTTTTGAAGAAAATTTTATAATCAAGAGTGTATAATTAACATAAGATAAGTATCAGAGCTCCGTATGGACTGGACTGGACTCAGATTTTTTGGATTTCATGGGCTCGGACTGGACTGGACTGCATTAGACTTTTTTAGTCCATGGACTGGACTGGACTCAAAAATCTGAGTCCATACGGAGCTCTGATAAGTACACGACAATTATAATGTGAATACGGGTGAGCAGAGATAATTTCTTCTTATAATATTCTTTAGTCACAAAGTTAAACTTCTCTCAAACACTTAGAAAAAGGCAGTAGAGTTCATCATCCTCAGAAAATGTACCAAGTATAGAGGCTTTATCTGCATATATATATATATATATAGGCTCTATTAAACATGCTGACTGTGCAAAGATCGCAAAGTAAAAATGCACAAAATTGAGAAATGCACGTTAAAGGTTGATGTCATCATAATTGTGAGTATCCTCGGTGTAAGCTCGCTTTGCTGTTGCCCCAGGCAAAATTTTTTGATAAAACTGATAAGATTCTTATAAGAATCTTATCAGTTTCTTATATAAGATTGTTTAAGATTTCCTATCGGCAGTTGTAAGTGTCTTATAAGAATCTTTTAAGATTTTCATAAGAGGTTCATAAGAAATTCATAAGAGGTATCAAAACTTCTCATGTTATTCTTATTTACTAGAAGGCAGCTTATGAGTTGGTTTTGGTGATTTCTGTTATGATTAAACTGCTTCTATTGGCTGGAATACTTCATAAGAATTTTTGGTGCTTCTTATGAATCTCTTCTTAGGAACCTCTTATGAAAATCTTCTAAGATTCTTATAAAACACTTACGTCTGTCGATGAGAAATCTTAAACAATCTTATATAAGAAACTGATAAGATTCTGATAAAAATCTTGTAAGACACTAGTAAGAGACTTAGACGTTTTTGATAAGATTCTTATATAAGAATTGATGTCTAGGATGGTGACCTTCAGGATGCAGCGACAATCAGTTCGGTCCTGTTTCACACATAGAGGATTGAGGCTCAGCCATTCCGCCTCATTCACAGGATGCTATAATAGCTTTAGCAACGAACTGATCGATAATTCAAACTTAAATAGGAATAAGAGTCGTAATGCGACAATAGCAAATTCTGCAAGATCGTGCCAGGCCTTCGCAATTTCTTTATGATCGCAACGTGACAATAGCGAATGGACCACGACTCGCGAAAATGTCGTCTTATTTTGCGAATCTTACAGCGACCGTGTTACGTGATCTCCGCGCGAATCTTTTTAGTGACTCGCATCGCGAATGGATGCAAGAAAGTTGACTTGGGCTTATAATCTTTCAATTTATCAAACTTAAATTAATAACTGATTTCTTACGATTTTAGGAATCATTATTGTTTTCGGAACTTGATAATGGTTAAGTCTTGAAAAGCTATCTATCACATATTCTCATTCTTTTGACAAAAGCTAGGTGTGATGTATAAGAAAACTAAAGTGAACAGATCAAGATAAATCTCCGACTATAAGGGATTTAAGTAATCCATTTTAAAAGACACATTGACAATTTTTGTTAGGTTATGCGATGACATAAGCCATAAGTGATGTTTGAAATACAAGTGTTCTCTCCAAGGGGGAAAAAGCGAATTTTCGCATCAGTTTAATTTTGAGGTCAATACATATGATACCGACAATTTCCAAGTTTTGTTGGATTTCTGTGGACTTCATGGTGTTCCACGTAGCTTCGCGAAACGTTTGATACTTTTCAGAGTCTTTCTGAATTTTTTTCGATAAGCTCCAATTTCAAGGGTTTTTACAGATGTTTCTTTTATTTTATCGAACTTTCTTGGATTTTTTTCGGATTTTGTTGTACTCCCGTGGATTTCGCTAATTTCTCTAGCTTCTCAGAGGGTCTTTGAGTTTTTCTACATTTGTATATGTTTGAAAGTCCCCAAAATTTCCAAAATCTGCGTTTTCCTCCTTGATTCTCTCACATTCTAGTGAGATTTAGTGTTATACGAACAACGTTGCAGTACGAAATATTTGGGCGATAACTGCAGAAAAAGTTTTTATAAAAAATTTTATGTCATGATAAAGATGATAGCTCTATCCAACTATGAAACATAATACATGAGACTCATTTTTGAAACTTGACTTGCATCTCACTGTTCGATATAAAACAAAAACAATTTTTTATTTTCTTTCTACTATGAGTAGATGCTTATCACAGTGACCACAAATGATGAAAATGATTTATTTTTTCGGTAATCAAGTCAGTATCTTTTTTAAACACAGCGTAAAAACAAAAATATCAGCAATAGTATCAAAAAACTCTATAGATAGGCACACGTAGAGAAACAAAAATAGAGAGAGAAGAAATAATTTAACGGAATGAAAATTAAATAAACGTTCTACTGTTACAAATAAAATGGAAAAGGGAAATCACAAAAATTACACTCTATTAGTACAATATAACTCAAGAATGAGTCAAGTAAGCAAATGGCACATTATGCATTTTGATTAAAACTATAAAAACTACTAATATAGCTCATTCTATTTTGCGTTATTACTATTTGTTTTCTTTTGAAAATATGTTTGAATATCATTGGACGGTAAACAAATATCATCCACTAACGGACGATTATATCTTCTTCGTTTATAAATTAAACTCCAGTATGTAGTGTGAATGTACTCCACCACTTTACAATATTTGTTTATCGATCGTTCTTTCTCGATTAGCCAACGTCTCATTGTTGAATTGGTACCCAAAATATTTTCAGCATACAAAATGTTCGCTGTTAAATTTCCTGTTTGTGGTAATTGCTCTAAAAGACAGAAAATAAATATGATCATAAATCATGAGTATGTAATCAATTTTTATATTAAATGGATAATTAGCCATTTAATGTGAATCTAGAATAAGGAGTATTCAGGTCAAGCAATGCTGCGAGAATCTTACAGTTTGTTCACGTAACGCGACACCTCGCTAATCAAGCTTTTTTCTCATCAGAAAATCGATAGGGGTACATTACTAGATACAGCTTTTCATCTTGATCACGAATCAGACTTTGTTTTTGAAGGAAAAATTAATTTTCAATATAAAATTAATATCTGACCTAGACATGTTGTTCAAAAACCGTTTAAAACATACCATTGAATAGAAAATTCAATTCTGTACAAAGTAGCTTATTAAAAAGAAATTTTTTAGCAAAAGAGAGCTCGTTCGCTTCTCTATAAACTTTGCTCAAGACACTTTTTATTAGCTCTTCTGAATTCGCATGAATTTGCACTTTAATAAAGAGGAGTTAGAATTGAGGGCCTTTTTATGTCGTTACCGATCTAAAAATGTTTTCTGGAAGCTCGAGTCTTTAACCAAAAATCTTTGTTTTTATACTCAAAGTAGAGTAAGAAGAGCCGCGTTACAGGGAGCAATAGCGAACTCTCTAACTCTTATAGTTTTCGAGAAAATATCAAATTACTATGTCAAAAATGTCACAGCATCACCTTTGGACAAGCCGCTTACTGGTAATAGGATTTCATGAGCTTCCTATTGTAGAGTCCTATGGAATCCCTATGGCACGAATTTCGTAGAATTCTTGATATAAAACAGTATCAAAAATCCTATAGGATTCCTATAAATATTTTATGTATTTCTTATAAAATCCTACAGTAAGGTTTAGTAGATTCAGTATGATTCCTATGTTTTCGTTCTGTATATATTCTTTTCTTTTTCTATACTAGAACTCAATCACCAACGTATTTTCCAGTAACTCTAATATAAATACAATTTTACCGTAGAAAATGAAAAATTCTTTTAGGCTCAAACATTCACACCGAACACTGTGAGCCATCGAAACTCGCTACTATTCGACGACATGTAAAGCAGTATTCAATCGTCTTGAGCTTATCCCAGCTCAGAATCACCTGATTCTGGCTAGCTGGGATCAGAAAATAATTAAAAAAATAAAAACAATAAACGTAGTAGGATAAACTATCAGAAAATCAGACAAAATCCTACTGTAAGCCTACAATAGGATCGTGCAGGATCTTGCAAGATTCTACACGATCTACTACTCTTGCAAGATTCTACACGATCTACTACTCTTGCAAGATTCTACACGATCTACTACTCTTGCAAGATTCTACACGATCTACTACTCTTGCAAGATTCTACACGATCTGCTACTCTTGCAAGATTCTACACGATCTACTACAGGATCCTATAAGAATTTTATAGTAGAAAGAATTTATATTGTGAAAAAAGGTACTTCTTTGAATGATTATCATTTAGAACGGTGCATTCTCGATTGGTTAAAAACTTCGCGCTTGGATCTTCGAACCATAAGACATAACTTTCCTAGTTCATACTTCTTACTCATAAATTACCTTTCTTTTTTGCTCTAAACCACAAATATTCATCGTGAGCTGTTTTATTATTTGCTAAGTAATTGAGATACATGGCAAATTCTTCTGTTGATTGATAATCGTAAATATTTATATACGATTTTGTTGGTAAAAATCGATCATAATTTGGTATATTAGATCGACTAGCCACGATAGGAATAGAAGTTGATGAAATTGCATCAATGAGTTTCTCAGTGACATAATCTTCACAATTTGAATTTTCAATAGAGATAACAAATTTATATTTCGAATAAAGTTCATGATTGCCTTTTTGACGATTTTGAGCATCATCAGAATGAATATTGTTTAGACAAGAACCATATGAGTCGACTTTGATATAATGCATTAGATCACGAATAAAATATTGACGACCATTATAAGCATTACTAGAAATAAATTTTTTATATAGTCCACGTAATAAACAATATTTTCATATACATACCAGTTTGATATAATCCATACGAGAGGTACACTATTCTTCTTCTCAAATTCAACTTTAACTGGTCGAAATAAATCTGTTAAATATGAATTTAAATCAAAATAGGTTGCTGGTTCAGGATATGATCGATTTAAATTATACCACATTGGAAAATCAATTTCATGCCAATCACTACCACCGGATGAATGTACTTCACTTTCAAGAACATAGACCATTGAGTATTGCTGACGATCATTTGTACGAACAAGTTCTGGTAGTTGTGATGATGGTAAATGGATCGAATGATAAGAGATAAGATCAGCGATGGATAAACGAGATTGATCGTCTGTCCAACGGACCTTGAGCGATTTTAATTTTTGACATCGTGCTATTAGACGTTGGCTTAGTCTGGAACTGGATAAATTAGAAAATTTGGTAATGCAGTAAGAATCGGAAATTGAGGAAAAATCACCTAAATGTAAAGAGAAAAGATATATGTTAAATTTTTTCTTTAGTACATGTAGACGTGTCAGCCAATAAGCGGTCAGTGCCACCGCCAAACGCTGTCTAAAAGTATGTGTTCTTCAGCTGCAGCCGCCAATGAAAATTTTATTTTTTCATTTAGTTGAATAGAGCTCATCGAGTTACCCAGGAAAACATCGATTTAAGTTTCTTAAAAAAGTAATTTTCGTTAAGATTGAAATATAGGAATTAGATCAAATTTCATGAAAGTTTTAAAAATAAGTCAAATTTTCATTTTTATTATTCTGTTCGTCGGTTCTGACCGTTTTACTTGAATCCCCATGCAAAGCTGAGTATAGAAAAAGTTACAAGTTGAAATGATCAATAAAAGAATGAAATACGGATCCATCTTAATTGCAACTAGATACAAGAGGCAGAGGTGCAGAATTTCTTCAGAATATTTGCAAAAAGAAACTCCAGTTTTTCAAAAACTTTCTTCGAATCCATAATTTTTCCCTGACGACCGTCGGAGCAACAGGCAGATTCTGCAGCTCTGACAAGAGGAAATAATTCTTTCGCTTTCATTCTAGTCTCTATATATGGGAAGAGAGGAGGGGCGAGAAGTTACAGATCACGTTCAGATTGTAATTTTTGGTTTTCTAAAAAACCGAATTTTTTTCGAAATTGACAGATTTTGCGTTTCAAAGAGGTTCTTGATTTCATGTTACAATCTATTTTATCGACAAATATTTTTTTAAAAAAAAAAAATCGATGTTTTTCTAGGTAACTCGATGAAGCTCTATCCAACCAAAACCAGAAACCGAGAAAAAAATTTTGCTCGATTTTTGGATTGTTTAGTACCTTAAACAAAAGAAAACTTCAGCCGCTACTGGAGACGAAAAAGTTTTTAGATGCTTTCAGCGGTCGTCGATCGAAAAAATATTTTAGTCGACTAAATGATCGACTGACAACTCTAACTAGAAATAAATCCTGAATATTTTAAAGGCTCATTTTTTCCACTATCAGCAAAGATCTTTAAAAGAGAATATCTTCTACGTCTCAAAATATTTTTGTTTAGGAATTTTATTCGATTTATTGAAACTTTATTTCAGAAAAGTTGTTGATAAAGCATTTTTAATACACTTTCAGACAAAGTTTCTTTGTCAATATCGGGTTGGACACACGTTTTATTTAATGCGTCTATCTAAGATTTGCGAAATTAATAAAAGAAAGTGTATCCAACCCGATATTGACAAAAAAACTTTGTCGGAAAGTGTATTGAAAATGGTGCTTTATCAACAACTTTTCTGAAATAAAGTTTCAATAAATCGAATAAAATTCTTAAACAAAAATATTTTGAGACGTGGAAGATATTCTATTTCAAATAGCAAATGTTGCTCTACGATTATACATAAAAGATTTTTTTGAAATAAACAATGAGGACAAATAGGTTGTGTCAGAGATACGAAAAAAAACATGAAGTACGCGCTCGCAGCTAGCTAATCCCGTTTCTAACTACTGCAACTAGTCTTAAGCGGTTGCAGTTAGCTGATACAGATTAATCTGGCGTTAATTGGTTAATTAAGCGACCACTGCATCGTCAGCAGACAGCTAGTAGTGGGCACTTACTGAAGTAGCTATTTGAACCAAAAATCTACCCTTAAGCGAGTGCATAAGCTAGTTTTTCAGTTAGATTTTTGCTAGAGCATTATTTCATTTCTATCCGAGAGAGTTATAGGAACTTCAGACTTGTTTTACGTTTTTCTCATATCAAAGCATTTCTCGCGCAGTAAGATACATTTTTCTTATGAATGAATCGATGTACTCCAATAAACTCTTATTTGTTTGAAATCTCGAACATAACTGCACAAAGTGATAAGCTATTGTTTTGAATTTCTCATGTGCTACTGAGAAAAGTGCATTTTACTAAGGAGAGTAGATACCCTTTTTTTTGAATTATCAGCGTAAAAAACCAACGGAGTACCAAAAAACTAACGGAGAGAAAGTCCAAAAAATTGAAAAAATTGAGTTGTTCATCATTTCTCGCTGTCACAAGGTACAAAATGGAGCTGTTTGAGAGATACATTTTTTTTCAGTATCTATAAAATTTGAGTTTATGTTAAATGAAAGTAGACGCCTTAATGTAAAGGCGTAAAAATGAAAATATATTTATTGAATAAAATTTTTATCATAATATTTTGATATTCATAGTCTCTCATCTACTAAAATTTCGCAGAAATCGGCGAAGAAATATTTTTCTGAGAGACAGTTTTCTCTCGTAACATCTTTTGTCTGTAACTCTAGTATCTATGATCGTGTCAAAATTTAAAATTTTTTTTCTCGATCTATTAAAAGCGTTTTAGCATATGCACTAGAAAACTCAGATTGCACAAAACTTGAATATGATACAAGACATAAAACATTAGATATTGGTGTACTCTTTCACTATAGGTAAAAAATTCTTCATAAATTTGAAATTAGCCAGGATCAGATATATTAGACGTTATGATAGAATCCTTATATTTTTCAATAGAGGATAAAATAAAGCATCATGAATATTCCTAATGAGATTCTTTTAATTCACTAGTTTGCTTATATTGAATCACTTGTTGTTCATTCAGTTTTCTTATTAAACTATAGCTCTTTCTCTTTCTTTCCTTTACTAGCGACTACTATTTGCAATCCTAAATTGTTGAGTAAACATATGAAAATGTTTAATATGTTTAACTTACATGAAATTGAATCTTCTTCTCTAAATATATGTTCTTTACCCGTCCAATCTAATATTATAAATTCATTTTCATTCAAGGCATTTTTTACGTTTACTCGTTGATTTTCTTCTTTTTCTTGTTCTGTTGGACGTTGTTGAAACGATTTTAGTATAAATGTAGCTGATGTTGACGATGATAACGATGTTCGATTAAAATAAATATTTGTTAAAATATATAAATTAAACAGACTAGCGAATAATATAAGAATTAATAAACAACGTTTTACCGTTGAACGCATCGAAGAATCATAACCTATAAAGTGGATCTCTCTAATAAATCAACATCATTCAAGTACATCATAGATGAGATCTAAAATGAGAAATTGAAAAAACGTTGTTAAACTTAGCAATTGATTCAGAGCGATAAAAATAAAACAGAAAGAAGCAAATAGTACACATTGTTAACAATTTTAACTTAGAAATCTTTTACTTTTTTTGTTATTGTTATATACTTTTCTAACCATAAAAAGAAAGGTGAATAACTCTGGAATGGTGTGCTGAGCAATAATCTTCGCACTGATGTGTGAAGAATGTTGTTCGGTGACCGCTGATGTACAGAGCAGTTTCAAGTTATACTGGAGTAACTGACAGTATTTTTTCTTTTAGAATCACGGTTTACTGGCGATATTCAATAAAAATGTTCGACATGACTTTTCCAGCATAGTAATAAACTCTTTTTACTTTCTTTCTTCAAATATCACTAACTTTTCGACTGAAATTGTCAGACCGTTAAGAAGAGCTAATGATAAAAGATTAAGACACTTGATATCGTGTGTGATTTCTATTAGGAAAAAACTAAGTTAAAAAGTGGGATTTAGTAAACATTTGTTAATAAAATTTCTTTTATTTTCGGTTTAGTCTCAATTTTGTCTCAATGGTCGTCAAATTTGGCAAATAAGGCTATTCCATATAACTCGGCCGAAAATGTGTATCCGTAACATTTTATGCTCGCCTTTATCCTTTGAACAAAAAGATACCTTTAGCTCGCGATGATCTCATTTTCCGAAGAAAAGTGTCCTCAATGAAATAGCAGATATCATAGCTCTCTACGATTCTCGATTAAGGTGTTTCGAAAACATTTAATATCACTCTTAAAAGAGTTTTCTTTTTTAAACAATGTATTTTTACATTTTGTTGATATAATGCCATAACAGAGAATCTCAAAAAACTCTAATATTTGCCATTTTGTTAAGAGCACTTTTCTTTGCAAAATCAGACAATCGCTAGCTACAGGAATCTTTTTGTTGAAAAGATATAAAGACGAGCACAAAATGTTACGGAATTACGTTTTCGACCGAGTTATTCCTAGTTACATTCGCGCTTTATTCTTGCTGCGATCATGCCGCGGCCGCTAAGTTTGCGCGTTCCGCGAAAAATTGGCGATCGCGCAATTTTTCCGTGTCTCAGGAATCATTCTAGCTCAGGAAATTCTAGCGTAAAAACACGCTCTATCTCAGCCCCCTTTTACGCTAGAATTTTGTTAACGTGATATTTGGAATCCTTGGATGAAACTGACCCTAGACACATAGTTTAGAGCCAGATGCCGCACATCCTTCCGGCTGAAAATATTTCGAAATCAGCGTTTCTCCGCATGTAGTACCGAATTTCCCGACCCCGTTTTTAGATATTTGAACAGCAGCTAGCGCCCGCATTCTTACATTATTCGAATCGCCGGGAGACGCACAACAACTTAATGTTTTGCTTTTTTCGATGTTCTTTCTTTCTTCTTTTGTTCTTCTTAGATTACATAGCAGAAGCACATGCATCTCTAAAAAGCATTTTATTCTGAGTTGAAGAAAACAGAAGAAGCAGACATTTATCGTTCGATATTTTTAATTTCGTTTACGCGTGTATCTCATGTGTATTTTGTCCTATGTTCTAACGAAGAAAAACATGCTTCATATAAACGCATATAGTCTATATCAGCGTTTCCCAAATGGGGTTCGATGGAACCCTGGGGTTCCGTGAAGTGAAACCAAGGGTTTCGCCAGAAAAAAAAAGAAGATAAAAATTAATTTCACCACTTAAAATAATTACGTAGTCTTAAATAATTTTTGTCAAATATTATATCAAAATACTACTGGGGTTCCGCAAAGTTTTAAATTTTATGAAAGGGTTCCATGGCTAAAATAAATTGGGAAACGCTGGTCTATATAATTGTCTAACATTTTTAAAAGTGAAAGAATTTATATAGTACACATAGACTTGTATGGCAGCCACGATGACGTTACAAAGCTTTTCTTCTCATTTTAAATGAGACGAAAAGCAGTATCTGTTACATCAGACACTTATTTCTTCTACTTAGGTCATATCTGCTCTTTTAAGTTTCTCAAAGCAGAATTAAATCTAAGAACAAAATTAACTAACTAATTTGCAAAGTAAGTACACAGTAGTTCTAGTGAGTGAGAGAATATAAATTTTGTTTCTTCAGGCATTTTGTGTAGATTAAAAAGGTCTTCTTTCTCAAAAAATGCACTTGAGCTTTTTCTATGTTCTTTCTCTCAATCGATGTTTACTGTGCAAATATCTCAAAAAGTGAAACGATTGATGACAGATTGATGAGAAATGCATCAAAGGTTGCTGCTTTTATAACAATTGTGAGTATCCTCAGTGTAAGATCGCTTTGTTGTTAGTGGCTCTCAGGATGTAGCGACGATCAGTTCGATTCTGTTTGATGCACAGAGGATTGGGGTTAAGCCATTCCGCCTCATTCGCAGGATATTAGATTGGCTCTAATAACGAACTGATCTTAGCGATAATATCTACGGGTATACATTCTCAGAAAGTTCAAGCATGAATGTTTTCTTCACATACGGCGAACGTTACCTTATCGGTAATATTCACCAGCGAACCATAAAACGGCAATTGCTCTCACTTTTATTTTGAGATTAAATACCAGTTATATGTCGAACTGTAATTGAGAAATACATGAAAGAACTTAGAGAAATCTAAGACTGAAGCTGCTTTAGAAATAGCAATCAAAATTTTTCTAAAGTAACACCGTTATCATAATTTCTATGACGCGCTAAGAAGAATTAAACAAAGCGAGAGAGTGTTTATAGATAAAACTGCTGTGTATTTATTTTAAGCTCAACCTCGAAGAGAGTCTGAAGTGAATGATTCACCTTGATTGCATTATGTTCCCGAAGAGAAAACCGGGTAAAACATGGTGAAATCAGTAGATTTCGAGAACCTTTTAAAGCTTCTAACA